CCCCCCCCCCGGCCCCCCAGCGGGCGGGGATGGCGGCGTGAGCCGCCGCAACCGGCCGGTTCTCCTCATTATGGAACGAGAATGTTCTGAGGGAACAGCAGGGACGACGGTGGGCTCAGGACTCCTCATCCTCCCCCGACCTTCCTCCTCCTCCCCTCGCCCCCTCACCCCTCCCCGCTTCGCCCTTCAGTCCCGACCAAAAGGGCCGGGAGTAGCTCGGGGTGTGAGGCGAAGTGGAGCACGCGCCGAGGAGGAGGAAGAGAGGCGACAGCCGCGGCGCGGGGGCAAGGGCTAGGCCGACCGAGGCGGGGGACGCCCCACTCCCCGGAGAGAGCACTTACAGCCGGTGAACGCCCCCTCCGCGGGCGGCGTCTGGTTACCATAGCGACCGCGTCGCGGTGGGCGGGGCGGGGCGTCCGACCGGTGCCCCCGCCGCCGGGGCTCGGCTGGAAACTGGGGCGCGTTCGAAAGCGCTTCCGGCGGAAGTCGAAGTCGCTTCCGCGTTCTGGCCGGCGGATGCCTGGGAGCGGCGCTGGTGGCGGTGCGGAGGCTGGTAGGTGTCAGTCCTTGGAGCCGGGAGAGGGTTCCCCGCCGCGGCCGGGCCGGGCGCCGGCTGCGAGCGGGGGACTCCCAAGGCCCGGGCTGGAGGCGGCCCCGGCGAGCGAGTGCGCGGCGTGGGTGGGGCTGCCGGGCCGGGGCCGGGGCCCGGGCCGACGGCGTTTCGCGAAGGACCCCTCCCAGATCATCTGCAGGAAGAGAAGGAAGCCGGAAACGTGCCTTATAATGCCTTGGGTAGTACTTTGCTTTTACTTTGATAGTTTTTTATTTAGCTTTTTGTAGGGACGAGGGCTCCCTATGTCGCCCAGCTGGTCTCGAACTCCTGGCTTCCGGCCATCCTTCCGCCTCGGCCTCCCAAAGTGCAGGGCTCACAGGTGTGAGCCACCACACCCAGCCATGTTTTATTCATTCACTTTGTAAATATGCATTTAGTTCCTCCAGCTTGTTTCTTGGGTGCCAAGGTTGCCATAAGCCTAGAAGCCTTCTTACAGGTTCATGCAGCACCCGGATCCGTCGTCAAATTCCTCCTTATAAATTGCTGTTGTAAGGCTTGGCGCGGTGGCTCACACCTGTCATCCCAGCACTTTGGGAGGCTGAGGCCAGAGGATTGCCGGAGCCCAGAGGTTTCAGCCTGAGCAACATGGTGAGACCTCGGCTCTACAACAAATAAAAATGTTAGCTGGATGTGGTAGTGTGCACCTGTGGGTCCAGCTACTCGGGAGGCTGAGGCGAAAGGATTGCCTGAGCCCAAGAGATCGAGGCTGCGGTGAGCCATGATCGTGCCACTGCACTCCAGCTTGGGTGACAGAGTGAGACCCTGACTCAAAAACAAACAGAAAAACATGCTGTTGTATATTCATTGATTTAATATAAAAGCATATATCATGAAATATCTAAAACGGTTTTTATGCTTTTGTGTACACCTATAATTCCTGGGGCGTTTTCACGAAAATGTAGACTTCCCCGGGTTTGCATTATGACCACGATTTACTCACCTTAATCTTAAAGAATTGATGAGCGCAGAACTTGATTTTATTCCTTGGATACCCACAGATTGTAATGAGTTGTCATTAATATTTCTGTTCAGCGAATCCGAGAAGGCCCGCTTGCTCAGGAGATGATGGCCATTGAGCAGATAGGAAGAAAGGATTGGTACAGCGTCCTGGGGGCAGACCCGTCTGCAGATGTGTCCGAACTGAAGCAAAAGTATCAGAAACTCATCTTAATGGTAAGTCTTTTCAGACTTTAGATCATGAGAGGAAAAAAAAAATCAGTTTTTAAATGAGACCAGAAACTTAGATGTCCACAAATACATACCAACAGCAGGAATCAAGGTATTATTTTGATTGTGATTTAAAAAATTTGATTTGAGTTGGGATAGCGTGGTGGTTAGGGGCGGGTATGAATCTGGCTGATTTTCTAGTTTTGGGTTTCATTCTGTGGCTATCTATGAGAACTTGGGCAAGTTACTTTCCCCTGTATGTGTCTCAGGGAGGATTAAATGAAATAGTCCTTGTAAAGTGCTTAGAAGTTTTACAAAATAATAGCATCCAGTGGCCACTGGCCACGTTTGGCTTTTGAGCACTTGAAGTGCGGCTAGTCTGAATTGAGATGTGATATAAGTGTAAATTTTATATTGGGTTTTGAAGACTTAGTATAAAAAAAGAACAAAAATAATCTAAAAGTTTTTTGTGTCTAAATGATAATATTTTGAATATACCAGCTATTTTGCATCTTATGCACCTGTGTGTGCATGTGTTTGCATATTTTACCAAAATTGGTTTCCCCCATTTTTCACTTTTCTTTCATTTTTGAGTTGAGGTCTTGCTCTGTCGCCCAGGCTGTAGTGCAGTGGCATGATTGTGGTTCACCACAGCCTTGAACCCCTGGGCTCAGGTGATCCTTCTGCCTCAGACTCCAGAGTAGTGGGGATGACAGGCATGCGCCACCACGTCCTGCCAATTTTTTTATTGTAGAGATGATGTCTCACTGTGTTGCCTAGGCTGGTCTCAAACTCTTGGGCTGAAGCAGTCCTCCCACCTTGACCTCCCAAACTTCTGGGATTACAGGCATGAGCCACTGTGCCCATTCCCTTTTTACTTGTTTTAACATTGCATTTGTAGCCTGTATTTATAGCTTACATCATATTTCTCTTCAGTAATGCTGATTTAGGCCATTTATACAATGTTTTTCAGCTGCTCTATCCTGTTTTTGAAATGAATGATGGTATTTATAAGTATATAGTATCTTTCTGAACTGTTTTATTATTCATCTTTTCAGTCTATTTTGTGGTTTTTTGTTTTGTTTTGTTTTGAGTTGGAGTCTCACTCTGTCGCCCACACTGGAGTGCAGTGGCCGCTGCCAGCCACCGCAGCCTCCACCTGCTGGGCTCCGGCGATCCTTCCGCCTCAGCCTTCCGAGTAGCCGGAATTACGGCATGCGCTACCACGCCCGGCTAATTTTTTGATTTATTGTAGAGGTGAGGTCTCGCTGCCCAGGCGGGTCTCGAACCCGTGGGCTCAGGCAATCCACTCACCTCAGCCTCCCAAAGGTGCGGGATTACAGGCTGAGCCACCGAGCCCGGCTATATTTTGTGGTTTTTTTTAAGCTGAAGTCAGTAACTGTAATGATGACCAGTTAACTCAGTCTACAAAAAGAGTAAAGAAACATATACATAGCATTTGTTGTCACAATAGTTTATACCAAATACGTCAAGGATGTTTTGCCAAAATTATTAGTGGCCAGTATGAGAGATAGCTGTCTCTTCAAAGGGGATGTACTGACAGCCCTGCCTCACCGAATGACCTGAAGGTGTCTTCTGTCTCAGAGTTTTTAAGGTACCTGTCAGTAAAATCAAGTAGGTTTTATTGAACGTTTTCCACTGTTAAGTCACCGTGTCCCTCACCCAGTAATTGGGAGGCGAGGCTGGAGGAACAGCCTGGATCTAGATCATGCAGGTCCTTGCGGCCGTGCTGGAGTTTCGATGGGCAGTGAGAAGCAGTCTGCACTTGATGGGACGGCATCTGCCAGGCACCACAAGGGCAGACTGTGATGTGTGCGGGCCCTGCATCCGAGCATTCCAGTTGCTCTACAACTCTGCTGACATTTGATTCTGTTAGTTGCTTCCATATCAGCTATTGGAGTTTTATAATTTTTGCCAGCATTGACATTTTGGGCGGGATAATTCTTTGTCACATGGGCTATCCTGTGCTTTGTACAATGTGTAGCAGCATCTAGGCGGCAGTAACAACCAAAAATGTCTCCTGGGTGTCAAAATTGCCATATCCCGTTGAGAATTACTGAATTATTCTACTGTGTCTGTAGCGATATCCCATTGTGGGTTTTTTTTTTGGCGGGGGGAGGAATATTTCACAAATGATTAATGATATTGAGCCCTTATTAAAAATGTGATTATTGGCCATTTGTATAATTTTCTTTTATGAAGTGTCTTTTCTAAAACATTAAATATATTCTTAATCTTGTGTGTAGATTGTGTCTATTTTCTTTTAGTCTGTGGCTTACCAGGTCATTTTCTTAATAGCGTCTTTTGATGTGCATAGCCCTTATGTTTTTTTGAAATATAATTTACTAGTGTTTGTTTTACAGTTAGTGCTTTCTGTGTCTTTTCCAAGATCATAGTATTCTTCTGTTTTCTTCTTGAAGTGTTATAGTTTGCTTTTGCCATTAGACTTATTATTTCTGTGTATGGTGTGAGATGGGAGATAATGTTTTTATTTTTCTTCAGTATGGTTAATTAATTGTTCAAGCATGATTAGTTGAAAACCTTTTCTTTCTCCCTTGGACTGTCTTGGCAGTGGTGGCAGCTTTCTGGACTCTGTTCTGTTGGTTATATTTGTTTGGCCTTTTACTAATACCTCCCCCTCTTGGCCTGTGGTCAGTCTCCAAGTCATGTGAAGTACGTTCTTTCATTTTATCCTTATTTTATTTTATTTTATTTTAAAGATGTGGGGTACAATTCAGGATTAGGTATATATGTGATTATCGTACAGGTAAAATTTGGGCCTCCCTTTGGTCCCCACTTTGCCTGGTTTGAGATAAGTTACCCTTATTGATGTGTGTCCCCTTCCCCTCCCACCCTGGCAGTATCGCATTACTGCCAATCCCTTTCTTCCAGTTTTACAGTAGATGTTCAGGATCCGCTTATGAGTGAGAACATGTGGTACTCTGTTCTTTGTTTCTGTGATAGATCACTGAGTATGATCGACCCTAAACCCATCCAAGTTGCTGCGAAGTCCATATGTTTGTCCTTCTTTATGACTGCATAATATCGCATTGTATATATGTACACATTTTTTTTACCCAGTCCAGTTTTGGTGGGTCGCACAGTGGTTCTATGTTTTTGCTGTTGTGAATAATGCTGCAATAAACATGAATGTGCAGGTATCTTTTTTATAGAATGATTTGAGTTCTTCCAGGTATATTCCCAGTAGGGAGATTGGTAGGTCATATGGAGGGTCAGTGCTTCTGTCTTTTACAAATCGTCACACTGTTTTCCAAAGGGATTATACTAGTTTGCATTCCCACCAGCAGTGTAGAAGTCTTTCTTTTTCTCCACATCCTGGCTAGCATCTTTTGTTGTTTGTTTTATTAATGATGGCCATTCTTACTGGGGTTTTGGTTTGCATATCTCTGATAACTAGTGAGGCTGAGCACTTTTTTTATGTATCTGTTGGCTGCCAATATATCTTCTTTTGAGAAGTGTCCATTCATGTTTTTGCCTAAGTTTTAATGGGGCTGTTTGTTTTTTCCTTTAGGCACGTTTGAGTTCCTTATAGATCCTGGTTGTTAAACCTTTGTCAGATATACAGTTGGCAAGTATTTTTTTCCCTTCTGTGGGCTGTCTCCCTGCTCTCTTGATGCTTTCTTTTGCTTTTCAGATGCTTGTCAGTTTGATGAGGTCACATTTGTCTATCTTATCTCTTATGGCCTAGGCAGTGGGGTTTTGGTCAGAAATTAGTTGCCAGTTCTCCTTTTCTCAGGTTTTATGTTTAGTTCTTTAGAGTTGATTTTTTTTTTTAATCAATATTTTTTATTATGGTTTTGTGGGGTACAGTTAAGGGTTAGGTGTACAATTACGTTTCATTCAGGCACCCTGTTGATAAGAGGTGTTTCCCCATCCCCAGACAGATATTTGCTACTGTTAATCCCATCCCCCCCCATAGTTTCCCAGTACCGTCAGTCATTTTCTTATAGTATTACGTTGGATGTTCAAGGTCCATTATATGAGTGAGAACATGTGATACTCGGATCTTTGTTTCTGTGATTTTTTTTGTTAGTGATAGGTAGGGTTTTTGTTTTAATCTTCTGCATGTGGTCAGCCAGTTTTCCCAGCACCATTTACCGAATAGGTTCTTCTCTCCCCAGTGGTTGTTGGTGGCTTTGTTAAGATGAGTTGACTGAGAAATTGAAGTTTTGCTTCTGGATCTCTTATTTTATCCTTCTTTTCATGTTATTTTGGTTATTCTGGTTTACTTGTATTTTCATAGTAATTTTAGAACCAGGTTTTAAATATCTACCAAAAAATGTCGCTTCAGTTTTAATTGGCATTGCATTAATATGTATTTGTTCTTTGTAGAAAGGACATCTTAATAATGAGTCTTCAAATCTGTGAGCATGTATCTTTACTTAAGCCATTTATAATTTCTCTAATTTTTAGTGTAGATCTTTTATTGGATTTATTTCTTTTATTTCTAGTTTTTTGATATATTTGATTCCATTGAAAATGGTATTTTTTTTGAGTTGGAGTCTCACTCGGTCGCCCAGACTGGAGTGCAGTGGCGGCTCCCGGCCACCGCAGCCTCGACCTGCTGGGCTCCGGCGATCCTTCCACCTCAGCCTTCCGAGTAGCTGGAATTACAGGCATGCGCTACCATGCCCGGCTGATTTTTTGATTTATAGTAGAGATGAGGTCTCACTGCCCAGGCGGGTCTCGAACCCTCAGGCTCAGGCAATCCACTCACTTCAGCCTCCCAAAGTCGCGGGATTACAGGCTGAGCCACCGAGCCCAGCGAAAATGGTATTTTTTAAGTTCATTTTTCAGTTGTTGATTGATAGTATATTGAATTATAGCTTATTTGTATATACTGGTCTTATATCCCACAATCTTGGTAAATTTGCTTTTTGATTCTCAAAACTGCTTTTGTAGATTTCTTAGAATGTTCTACCAACACTATTATATCATTTGCAAATAAAGAGCTTTAATTCTGT